TAATTTTGGTCTAAGGTCAGAGATTCTTCACTCTGTCTTAAGACTGTCAACAAAAATAAAGAAAGATTTCCTCTGTTCCAGAGTTTTAGTTTGATAATAAATCTACAGTTGGTGTATACAGAACATTCACAATGTGCATGATGAATTTGACTTTTGCCTAACCATAAACTAACTTGTTGTTGATATGTTTTGACACTTGCTGAAATAGTCTCATTCCCACTATGAATTTCTCAGAGACAATGGCACACCAAATTTGGCCATGTGTCCAATTATTCCAAGCTGATGCAATGAATACAGGAGCCTAGTTACAATGAATAAGTTATTTGTCTATTCTATGGATATTCAAACGCATCATTTTGTTACAATGCAAAATGGATTGATTCATACTTTTTAAAAAAAGCATGTTCTCATGCCCATAATCAAATACTCTGAGAATAATTATCTTGCTGTGACTATGCATGAGTCAAGGCAAGTGATGAGAATTCAAGATTTTTAGTTGTCGCGTAGCAGGAAAAGTCTGATAAAATTGTAGCCTCCCTGTAGGGTCAATAAAATATGAAATGGGTAGCATCCAATTTCCTAGTATCCAATACACTAACTTGTTGCCTAAGTTAGCTAATGTAAATACAATTTTATGTGGATTAACTGAAGATACAGCAGGCAGCATAATGTCTACTATATATGCATCTATACAGTAGAATGTATGCAGTCTGATATCACTTTAACTGCTATGGAATCATGGGACAAGGTCTTTAGCTTTTTCTGCCAGAGTGCTGGTGTGTCACCAAACACCAAAGATTCTGTAGCATTGAGCCATGACAGCTATAGTGGTGTCAAACTACATTCATTTTACAATGTTGTAGATGTACGCTAGGACTCTTGGACAATAGGTTCAAATCCCTGCTCAGCCACAGAAACCCCTGGGTGACCCGTTGTGAGAGCCATTCAGCAGTGGAACTCTCTGTCCTGGAGTGTGGTGGAGGCTCCTTCCTTGGAAGCTTTTAAACAGAGGCTGGATGGCCATCTGTCAGGGGTGATTTGAATGCAGTATTCCTACTTCTTGGCAGGGGGTTGGACTGGATGGCCCATGAGGTCTCTTCCAACTCTTTGATTCTATGATTCTATGACCTTGGGTAAGTCAGCATTAGAGGAAGGCTAATTTTCTTCTAAACAAATTGAGCCAAGAAAATCATGTGATAAGCTCCCCTAAGGCAAAGGTATCAAACTCATTTGCATTGAGGGCCACATCCATCTTATGGTTGCCTTCAAAGGGCTATTGAATCCATGGTTGGAAAATCTGTGGATATAGAAGGGCAATTATAATTTTTTTTATATAGTGGTTGGTGCTCTTTAGTTTTTTATCCAATTTGAGTCCCCAGATGTTGTTGCATGAGAACTGCCATCACTTTTGATTATCTGCCATGCAGGATGGAGATAATGTAGCGGTATACAAGTTAAATAAAAAAAAAAAAAATGGGAATTACAACCCAAAAGCATTTGTGACTCTGAAGTTGGAGAAACATTAAAGTACATTTCAAAGTCAGATATCATACCCACAAGCCTTGTAGCAACATTCAAAACCCATTATCCTAACTAAACTAAATAAACTGCAGCCTTCCAGATGTTGCTGTATCACAACTCTCATCAGCTCTTGTCATGATGTCTACTGATGATAAATACAAGAGTTGCAGTCCAGTATTTGGAGGGCCACATAAACTGACATGGTGGATTTGGGCTGTGGGCCTTGAGTTTAACACGTGTGCCTAAGGTAGTGGTTCTCAACCTTTCTAATGCCACGACCCTTAATACAGCTCCTCATGTTGTGATGACCCCCAACCATAAAATTATTTTCGTTGCTACTTCGTAACTGTAATTTTGCTTCTGTTATGAATCATAACATAAATATCTGATATGCAGGATGTATTTTCATTCACTGGATCAAATTTGGCACAAATACCCGATATGCCCAAATTTGAATATTAGTGGGGTTGGGAGGATTGATTTTGTCATTTGGGAGTTGCAGTTGCTTAGATTTCTAGTTAACCTACAACCAAAGAGCATTTTGAACTCCACCAACAATGGAATTGTTGGCATACAGAACTCTCATGACCAACAGAAAATATTGGAAGGATTTGGCGGGCATCTTGAGTTTGGGCATTGTAGTTCACCTACATCAAGAGAGCACCATTGACTCAAACAATGATGGATTTGGACCAAACTTGGAACAAATATATGCCCAATTGTAAACACTGGTGGATTTTGGGGGAAATTGACCTTGAAATTTAGGAGGCGTCGTTGCTGGGATTTATAGTTCACATACAATCAAAGAACATTCCAAATCCCACCAACAATAGAATTGGGCCAAATTTCCCAAACAAAACCCCCATGACCAACAGAAAATACTGTGATTTCTGATGGCCTTTGGCAACCCCTCTGACGCCCCCTTGCGACTCCCCATGGGTCCGAACTCCCAGATTGAGAAATGCTGTCCTAAGGGTTGTCCTAAGTTGGAAATTAATTGAATGCATACAGCAATTGAAACTATGGCAAGCTTTCATAGATTGGAAAAAGGCATTCAAGAAAAGTGAGATGACCAGTTCTCTCACACCAGAAATGGCTTGCAATTTCTCAAGTCGCTCCTGACACAAAAAAATTGCATTGACAGGCATTGAAAGGTGAAATGCAAATATGCAGTTACTTCATTATCTAGTTTGGCCCCAACAAGGATTTAGGAGAATTGAATTATCAAGCACACCGGAGAGTAGCGCTTAGAACTGCAACCAGGAGTAGGTGCATCTCCCTGTTACCTGAGTAGATTTGGAAATGAATAAACAGTCATCTTGTCCTAGTATTGCCAGCTTCCCAATTTGCAGTATGTACACAAACTTTGCTTCGTGCACAAAATTATGACAAATGTTATATAAAATTGCCTTCAGGTGCAGATGAAGAAAAAATGCCTTTCTTGCTTAGACTTGGGTCCCATCTCCAAGATATCTCATTAGGTATGCATATGCAGATACAAATATTCCAAACTGGGGGTGGGAGGTGGGTGGGATGGCGGGCTCCAAAACATTCCTGGACCCCAGCATTTTAGATAAGGGGCACCTAACCTGTATTGGGTTCAGGTAGCTGAGTCATGTATTTCTCTACAAAGCTAATCTATTGTCCACATCCATCAAGAGCCCACACTCCCCAAATGCAGGATTTAGGGCGATCATGCTCAACCTGCACAAAGAGAAAGCTTTCCAACCTGCAAGTAGTAAACATACTAAATAATAAAAAACAATAAGAAGTAATGGGAAGTCCAATAAGCAATAAGCAAATAATGCCCATCCTTTTACAATCAAGGATACTGGAACGCTTACCTCATCTCATCCGCTTCCCTTTTCCAGCAACTCCTCCGCACTTTGGGGAAACTGAAGTCATGCCTGTGTAAGGGGTGAATCTACATCAGGCATGGGCAAACTTTCTAATTTGGGGGCTGCATGGTGGGCTGGAGTGGGGTGGGCGGGCCAGGAGGAAGGGGTTTTTCCCCAAGCCCCCTCATTGCTCTTGTCTTCCTTTCCTTTTCTCTTTCGGACTCAGAAAGTGAAGGAAAGACAGGAAAGGTTTAGTTTTCCAAAAGGGTTGGTCTTGGTCAGGATGAGATGGTGGATGGGAGAGAAAAAGTGTATCAATGAGACCCCATATTGCCTGCTCCTGATATAGAATCCTAGAATCCTAGAGCTGGAAGAGACCCCTAAGGGCCATCCAGTCCAACCCCCTGCCATGCAGGAAGGCACAATCAAAGCACTCCTGATAGACAGCTTATGTAGAAAAAGCCTCAAGAGAAGGAGACTCCACCACACTCCCAGGCAGCCTATGCCACTCTCCAACAGCTCTTACTCTCAGAAAGTTCTTCCTAATCTTCTCAGTCGAATCTCTTTTCCTGCCATTTGAAACCATTGCTCCCTTGTGCCCTGATCTCTAGAGCCGCGGAAAGTCAGTTTCCCCCCTTCCTCCTCCTCGATGGGACACCCTTTTAAATCTTGAAACATGGTTCTCATGTTCTCTCTCTACCTCCTCTTCCCCCTGCTAAACATCCCCAGGAGGAAGGAGGAAAGAGAAAGAGCAGGGAGGGAGGGAGGGAGGGAGGAGGAGAAGGATAGAAGGAAGGGTGAAAGGAATTGGAGGGAAGGAGGAAAGAAGGAAGGAAAGAAGGAGAGGGAGGGAGGGAGGAAGGGTGAATGGAAAGGGAGGGAGGGAGAGAGGAAAGGGAAGGAAGGAGAGAGGGGGAAGAAGGGAGGAAAGAGAAGGAAGGAAGGGAGGAAGAAAGAAGAGAGGGGGAAGGAGGGAGAAAAGAGGGAAGGAAGGAAGAAGAGAAGGGGAAGGAGGGAGGAAAGAGAGAAGGAAAGAAGGAGGAAAGAGTGGAAGGGAAGGAGAGAGAGAGGGAGAAAGAGGGAGGCAAGGAGGAAGGAAAGAGAGAAGGAAGGATAGAATGGTGTGTGAGAGGAGGGCCTGAGAAAAGAGCCCAAGGGGCTGCATCCACCCCCAGGCCTGGGTTTATCCATACCTGATCTACACTCTAGAGCAGGCATGGGCAAACTTGAGCCCTTCAGGTGTATTGGACATCAGTTTAAGCGGCTGAGGGGGAAAATGAAGGGGCCTGAGGCTGTTAGGAATGGTGGGAGTTGCAATCCAAACCCCCGGAGGGCTCAAGTTGGCCCATGCCTGCTCTTCAGTAGAAGGAATGCGGCTTGGCACCACCTAAACTGTCATGGCTCAGTGCTAGGGGATCCTGGGAGCTGTAGCTTGACAAAGTCTTTCTCCTTCTCTGCCTTGTCAAACTCAAAGTGGTGCCAAACTGGATTAATTCTACCATGTAGATGCACCCTGCGGTCGGTTCATCTCCCTCCCTTCCCTCGGGAGCTTCCTAGCCTCCATTCCTCCCCTTGGAAAGGTTTCCCTTAGACCCCCGCCCCTCTCTCTCCCAGTCCTTCCCGTCTTCCGAGCCTACTCACCGGCCCCGTCCTTAAGAGCAGAGGCAACAGGAGGAAAGTTTGCCTCCCTCCCCGGCGGACGCCTTTCCAGCCCTGGCTTTGGCAAGAGGTGCGGAGGTGCCTCTCCAGTCCAAGCCCGGCTCCCCAAGAGAGTCCAGCCCCGAGCGCTCCTCCAGGCGCCTGCCTCCGGGACTAGGGATGCTGTGCCAAGTGGTGGGCGGGAGGCTTGGACCCAGGCGGGCGGGCGGGCGGGCGGGAGGGCTCCTTCGGCAGGGGATGCAGCCCGGCTCTTCGATCACATCACAGCCGGCTCTCGTGTCCAGCCCGACTCCTGCTCTCAACAACACACCGCCCACCACCGCTTGGCTTCTCGGGCCGATCGACACGGAGTGTTCTCTGTCACGACTTGCTGCCCTGGCTCAATGCTCCTGAGACCGGGACTGGTGCTCCTTCCTTCGCCTTCTCTCCTGGTGCCTCACCAAACTGCAACTCCCCTGAGTCCGTAGCTTTGAATCCTGGCAGTTTAAAGGAGGATCCAGCTGCATTTATTCTACAGTGGACATGAACTGCTAGACCTTAGACGCGGTGGGACGGTGGCGAGGTCCGTAACACTAGGAATATGCAACTTCTTCTATGCACAACACATGTACAACACATCTATCACTTCATTACACTAGATTTAAAAAATCCACTTTAAATCCAGTTTCTGCCTCCTGCAGAATTCTGGAGTTTGTAGTTTAGTGAGGCTGTTAAAGGCTCCTCTCTAAACTACAAACCCCAGAATTCTGCAGGAAGCAGAAACCGGATTTAAAGTGGATTTTTTCTCTAGTGCGATGAGGTCTAAAACTGTATTGTCGAAGGCCTTCATGACCGGAATCACTGAGTTGTTGTAAGTTTTTTGGGCTGTATATGCTCCAGAAGCATTATCTCCTGACATTTCACCTGCATCTGTGGCAGGCATCCTCAAAGATTGTGAGGATTGTTGGAAACTAGGCAAGTGAAGTTTATATATCTGTGGAATGTCCACGGTGGGACAAAGAACTCTTGTCTGCTGGAGGAAAGTGTGAATGTTTCAATTGGTCACCTTGATTAGCATTGAATGGCCTTGCAGCTTCAAGGTCTGGCTTCTTACTGCCTGGGGGAATCCTTTGGTGAGAAGTGATTCGTTGTCCCTGATTGTTTCTTGTCTAAAACTTCTATGCACAAGACAGGCTAAAACCTGTCTTGATTAGAGAGATGGGCCAAAACAAACAAAATGAAGTTCAACTGGGACAAATGCAAAATACTCCACTTAGGAAGAAAAAATGAAATGCAAAGATACAGAATGGGAGATGCCTGGCTCAACAGCAGTACGTGCGAGAAAAATCTAGGAGTCCTTGTGGAGAACAAGTTAAACATGAGCTAACAATGTCATGCAGTGGCAAAAGAAGCCAATGGGGTTTTGGCCTGCATAAATAGGAGTCTAGTGTCTAGATCCAGAGAAGTCATGCTACCCCTCTATGCCGCCTTGCTCAGGCCACACCTGGAATCACACTGTGTCCAATTCTGGGCACCGCGAATGAAGGGGAATGCCGACAAGCTGGAATGTATCCAGAGGAGGGCGACTAAAATGATCAAGGGCTTGGAGAACAAGACTTATGAGGAGCAGCTTAAGAGCTGGGCATGTTTAGCCTGAAGAAGAGAACGCTGAGAGGAGACATGGTAGCTATGTATAAATATGTGAGGGGAAGTCATAGGGAGGAGGAAGCAAGCTTGTTTTCTGCTGCCCTAGAGACTAGAACAGGGGAATTCCCAACATGAAACAATAAGGGCCAGATAATACCTCCCAACAGAGGATTCTGCAGGAATCAGCCAAACCTTGAAGCTGCAAGGCCATTCAATGCTAATCAAGGTGCAACATTCTGCAACATTCACACTTGCCTCAAGCAGACAAGAGTTCTTTCTCTCACCCTGGACATTCCACAGATATATAAACCACACTTGCCTAGTTTCCAACAGACCACACAACCTCTGAGGATGTCTGACATACATGTGGGTGAAACATCAGGAGAGAATGTTTGTGGA